GATAGGTTTTGGACTTTTGATTGTGTAAATTTTTCATGTACTAGAGATTTTTGTTAACGTAGGATGTGAAACTTGCATTTTTCAATTTAATATGATATGTATCAGTGTTTCATTACAACCTTCTCTTTGTACTATTATTGCCGTAACCCATCCATACGAGAACTTTGTCATGCGCCTTTTTAAACCACTGCGGACCAATCTGACGAAATTAAAGCGATTGCCGATAAAATAAAAGTAATAATAAAAATAGAAAAATCTCAAACCTAATTGTCGCGCCCGCGAAATTTCCTTTTCGTTAAAATTCAATTATTTACAGCTGGATAGGGATAAAACTATCCCATTGTTTTTTTTTTTACTTTTCATGCAACGATAGTTCTGCGATAATTTTTGTAATTGCAGTTTAGAGACGCTCCACGTCATAGCGTTATACACTTTGACTTGGAAGTCGGCTGTGCTCCGCTTCATGTCTGTCCACTATTCAGTGTTCATTCACTTCTTTACGATAGAGCCGCCATCCTCGTGAGTATTAATCCTGTGAGCATTAGATTATTTGTAGCGCATTTATTTTGCTATAAATTTCAGTGATAACGATTAAGTATGCGTTTCCCTGTCAAATACTTAAAGCTAGGCATTCAGTGATGTTTTATGCGCAGTACCATGTCCAGCCATTGTTCATTATTAGAAATTTTTACGGATTCGATATAGAATTTGTCAAGTTACTGTTCTTTGAATCTGTGAATAATAGGACAAATTGTAAGTCTTTTTTTCATCATTTTTTGCAGATTACGTTGTTTAGGTTGCCACCAAGATTCAATAAAGTTTCACGCAAACGACTTTTGGATTGACCCACGGCGGAAATCCCTGTATCCAGAGATCTGATGCCGTGACACTAATTAAAAAAAAAGTCCCTATTTAATCACGTTTTGGCCGTCCAGAATTCTAAATTAAAAGGTTTATTGCCCTAGTAAAGGAATGAAATTTATACAAAATAACATAATTGTGCGTAGTTCATTGGGCAACTTATCAATAACTTCTTGTAACGTGAGAAACACGAGGGTTTCTCGTCAGTATAATGGCGCGACAAGCGATGATGGAAGAGGTAGCGATAAAATGTCAGGCTGACGAACAAACGAGCGGTTGATCCGAGGTTTGTCATGGGGGTGTATCGATACATACAAGATAAAGCTTCTGCATATACCCTTTATATGCATTGCAAATGGAATAATTGCGAAATTTCAACTCAATATGGCTCATTTAGGGATGGCTCATTTCATAGTTAAAACTATTTTAAAATTCACTGTTCAGAGTCAATGCGTCTGTAGCTCTATTTTAGGATGATACATTATCTTCATGGTTTAAAGACAAACAATCTTTTATAAGACTTTCATCACCGCAGTGAATTTACTCACGCTGGGAGTACCAGCAGGAGGGATCGCTGCCCCCACCGAGGGCGTGCGGCAGGTAAACGCTGGCGCTGAGGCAGCGCCCCGAGGGGCCGTAGCAAGCCACGTTGACGTCGGGGGACGCGTGCAGCAGACACACCAGGGCGGCGGCAGCCTGAAGTTCCGTCACGTTGGGGCTGGCATTGCCTCCTGCCACCGCCCACTTGCGACCAGCAGTCAGCGGCACGCGGCTACACAACACTACACTCACCAGAAGAATCTTAGCGATGTTTATGAGATGATGCATGTTGTACCCCAAAATTGTTATATAAATATAATTTTCTGATCAGCAAACTTGGTCTTACATTCATCAAATTATGAGTAACCTCTTGTGATCATCCTACGTGTTCACAGAGCGATGTGTGCTGTGGCACTGAAACGTGAAGCCGTCGTAGAGAAGCCATCTATATAATTCCGGCCATAGCGTATAAAAAATTCGTTGCTAATCATTGGGAATGATGATGAGATCTTGTGCGCGAAGTGAAGGGGGGCCAATCTATCTTCCAAATCGACGACTGTCCAAAGTATACAACGGAAAAATACGACTTGACCAATAATTTATTTTAGTCGCTTCCAAAAAATACAAATTTTCTCAGCCATTTCCTCGCTGCCAGCCGCGTATTTGTCAAGGGAAATAGTGAAATAATTTTATATTTTGCCAATAATGTTTGAATTATGTAAAGCTCTGTTAAAGACAGTAATTTTATACAATTTCAGCCACGCTATAGTCGCCCTCTACAATTGCTGCGATTGATGGGCAATGTGCGGGCTAGAAGAAAACATTCAAGTTAGAATGCTTTTTTGCGGCATCTCCATGGCTTGGTGCCTAAATGCAGCAATAGGTTTTGGTGGATTTTTTTTATTGGAGCAAGTCTATTGATTGGCACCAATCGAGAATGTGGCCAGTGTGAGCCGTTTGTTGAAGATTAAAGGAACGATAGTTGATTTGATAAGTTGATTTTATTTCCTAAATCACGGACAGAATTGGAAGCAATGTGAAATTTTCGATGAATTCAATTTGTTTTCTCGAAAACGTTCCGGGGACCAGCTTTATCAAGAACATTCGATAAGCTGGTATAGTTTTGTAATGAAACAACGATTTTCTATTAACTAGGGGAAAGTTTGCAGATGAAAGGGACAAGGATTCAATATAAACTTTTTTGTGCTGGTTTCATTAGTTATTATTAAGTTATTATGGCATCGGAATGATTGAAAATCTGAAATCGTGCCGACTTAGTTCATGTATGATTCTTCTTTCATATAAGAATTATTGTCAAAAATGTAGCTGTTTCACGGATTTCAGAAAATTTTTTGCATTTTCGTTCAGATTAAAGAAACTTCGAGAGCAACCTGCCCTCGCATTTAAAATTTTGAGGGTAAACGTTGTGAAGGAGATATTCATGGTGTCGGAGATATACGTAGTATTGATAGTATTCATCGGAAGTATTCGTGACCTTCTTCCGACCCACTATATTCATCACACGCAATTGAAGGTATGTGGTCCTCACGCTAAATAGAGACATTCGTTTATAAATTTTCGGAACATTTTATAATGACATGCACTCTTTTAAATATATATTTCCTATTATTTAGAAGAATTATTTTTCTACTTGCGAGAATAAGTGTTGCTTCTGAGATTTTCCTTCCTTTGCGAAGGATAATGGGTTGAAGTTCTGCTGTTGTAGCTATATATAGTCATGGACAAAACTTAATTTTTTTAATAAAAAGGCATCGCAGAATTCACGAAGTTTCAAAGTCCAATACAAGTTTTTCATCGAGTTTTGACCGTGGATAGCATAAACACGGAGTGAATATATTCGCCTTACCTTCGCGTGTATGCTAACTGAGTACTGATGAAGCTAAAGTCCAATCATCATTCCCCCTAAATTGCAGAGCTATTGATGCTCAGAATAATTTAGCATCTCTGGCAAGTTCGTGTGAAGACAGAATTCTTCCAAATAATAGCAATGGTGTATAATTGGTAAAATAACTTGCTCAATTTGGCTAACATGATTTTGCCGTATTGATCAGCCACTCTTTACGCCTCCATGTGTTGCATGAACTTCATACGTCCCACCTGTTGCAGTTATAATAATAATTGTTATATTATTGATGATACACTTAAATGTTCAATTATAGTACCTCCTGCACAGCTCGACTCTGTCGGTACTCGTAATATATTTATATGTAATGCAAATTATTTACAATGAAAAGACTCGTTGCGTTAACGCTATCAGAAACTCTATCTTACCATGCTCATTATTTCAGAAGAATGTATTGAAGAAAATTTACCCCTATAATTTTATAGAAAATGGTCTGCATCTCCCTACGCCATCACCAGTACCAGGTTGCTGGTGTCACCAGTACCAGGTTGCTGGTGTCATCAGTATCAGGTTGCTGGTGTCACCAGTATCAGGTTGCTGGTGTCACCAGTACCAGGTTGCTGGTGTCACCAGTTACATTTATAACTGTCGTACAGTTGAGTAGAAAAACAAATTACCTGATTAACGCTGTAGGTATTGTTAATGCATCACAAACACACACTAATATATTTATGTTCCTTTTTTCAGAGCATTGAAAAATCGATTACTGATCTTATAGTTAATAATAATTATGTTATTCATGCTGATTGGTTGGAGATTCCGTGCACCAGTCCACTTTCACATGAGCGCTTCATTTTTTCAGTGATTTTCCTGGCTCGTAATCTTGCACTTGTATATCAGAATAATATCAACACACACTCCTATTTATGGGACAAAATAATATTATCTTGATAGGAAAGATAACGAAATGGTCATCCAACAACGCACGCGTGTGAAGAGCCTTCAGCTGATGTGCTTATTAACTTGACCTTGGTTAACTGTAAACAACCTCGTGTAAACAAACACTAACTGTCTGAGCTGTGAGGTGGACAGACGCTAAATGCACCTCAACATCACTCATGCTAGGACTGTACTTCACTAACTACTGTAATCACTAAATGTTAGGACTCCGAGGTGCAGAGACGTGAACTGTACATATAGTCATACTGTGGACTGTACTTCCCTACCCACTGTAATCATTGTACTTAAAGATTGTTATTTTCACTGTAATGTGTATATTGTTTATCCATTACGCATCCATAAAATGTGAACGGTTTGAAAGAGATTTCGTTAGTACGAATACATATGAGTAGAGCTGCGTTAGATGAGTATCACATTCATCTACTCATATTAATATTCTCAATACTATTCCTTACATTATCCACTGTGAATGTAAAGCACGATTTGTAAAACACGTCGCAAGCTGATTGAGAAGGATTTTTAACCTTTCCATTAATGTATTTTATCGTTAATTAAAATTAATTAGACAGAGTCGAAAGGTCTGAGAAGGACATTACTGGGAAAATGCAACGTTATTATACAAGAACTAAATTGCGTTTTATTGTCGCTTAATTTTTGTCCATCTATTTCATGTTCGTGAAATAATCCTTGTTTCTATGATCTCTAAAATTCATATCGTCGATACACTTTAATATTCTTAAAATATCGAAAATTTATATATTCTCAGGAACATTGATGACTTCACAATCCTGAGATACTTAATTAGGAGCTCGTCGGGAATGTGGCTGCATGGACGCTACTCGTCTGTATCGCTCACTGAAGCAACACAATAAGTTTGCAGTATTACACTTCAATCAAAAACTTAATCCGAAGACAGAAAGATGCAAGTCTTCTTCCTATCTCTGTTGTTTGAGGTCGTCGTGGCCCTAAACGTCGATCGAAATAATGACAACTCGCCGTCTACGCGAGAATTTAAACTCGCACGTGAAAGGTATGATTAATAAACAACCGATAATAATTTCGGTTTTCCCTGCTTTTCTAAATTTTGGTTGAAAATGTATAATGGATGAGCATTATAATATTTAAACAATGGTTTATAATTATAATTTGTTAGACGTTAGAAATGGTTTTTGGAGGCCGTGATGCCTGGCACGACTAACCTAACTGTACACATTGTTTCTGCGGCAGCGAACACACCCCGGGACAAGACGGAACATTCAGCGCGAGATCGTTCATAATGAACCAAGGCAACATCAGAGAAACATTCAACAAAATATACGCGTATTACCTCCCTATCCCCAAGAGCCTCTACCCTGACCACGGGCCGTTCAAACCTGCAACGAACCTGTCGCGCGAGTGTGCGCGTGACGTCATCACGATACACTCGGCGTTCCAAGGGTCAGGAGGAGCGTTGAGTCCTGGACACGACCGTCAAGTTTGGCCAGCAAAACGTTCGTTTTATTTTAATACGAAAATTATTTGCATTCATGTAATCAAATAAATTGTTGAGCTTTTGCATCTAGTTGCGATGTGGAAGTAACCAATATATTGGTTTCCAAACAAATTGTCTATGAGGGACACCGTTTTATGTTAGGAGGGACAGCGTTTTACGGACACAGCCAAGTGGCCGTTGGTGTGCATTTCACGCGTTGCCATTCACTGTGATTCACACTCAGAGAAATGAGTGGGACTTTGTCCGAATAGCGATGCGCTTTTGGCCTTGTCTGGGGCATCCTGACACATTTCAGCCCTGCGATTTACGTACTAGTCCTAGTTCGCTCGCTTCTCATGCTGTTGGTATTAGGGGTCGCTATTTGGGCGAAATGATCTAATCTTTTTTTTTTGCATTCGCAATTCATTGACACAATTTACTGCAGTAATGGACTCGTGGGGCAAGGGAGAGGATGGCATCTTCAGCGGCAATGCTCGCTGGCTGGGCTTCATTGACCAGTGCTTGGCCACGATCGGCGTCTCTCAAGACGTCGTCGTCGACGCCACCACCGACGTCGGTCAGGACGTCTTTATCGGCGTCAAGACCACCACCGACGTCGGTCAGGACGTCTTCGTCGGCGTCAGGACAACCACCGACGTCGGTCAGGAAGTAACCACCGACGTCTCCACAGACGTAACCGTCAACGTGACGTTCAGAGGGCAGTACTGCCTCGTCACGGCGCTGCCTTCCAAGTAACTCCAACTGAAAGCCAATGAATATAATTTAGGTTTCAGTTTTAGGATATTTTATCAAAGAGAATTTTTTTGCATTATGAAAAAAACTCTAGATTCAATGAAAATTTTTATTTAAATCCGGAAAATTCTACTTGATTAGTAAGATGAAATTTCACGTTAAAACGATTATAATTTTCACGAATAATAGTTTCATGGTTCTAATAATAAAGTTAGGTTACACCTACAAGTTTAATACTTGCAATAGAAAACTAAAGTTACTCTTCGCACTTCTTGTTGCGTCGCGTAGGGCGTCGCTGGTGAAGGGGATCCTTCCGCTGCAGTACGCGACCTGCATCCCATCGACCTGCACCGAGCGCGAGTATCAGGTTAGCGGCCTGCATCTCTTCATCCCCAGCCCGACCACTTCACTACTATACTAGTACTACACGAAATCAGCTTACGCAATAGCTCATGTCTTTTGGTCCTGTTATGCCAGTCCATTTGTCAATACGCCCTACATAGACAGTCTGCCACTTCACAGTTTCTCCGGGAGCGCAGCCGTGCACCACAAATTTTGTACACCAATAAGCCCTGAATCGAACGCCTTGGATCTCTCCGGACATCCACCAATCAGCCGTGAATGGAACCTTCTATCCGTAACCGATCCTTGACATCCTTCTGCTTTGAATATTTTGAGCTCTACACCCCCCAGACACGAGGTCGAATAGCCTACGGTCGAATGGCCGTCCGCCACTGAACGTTGCGTAGAAGCTTCCCGTTTCTCCTACCACTTCAACTTCCATGATTCCATCTACTACCCTTGCAAACTTCAAGCAACCCCTGGGCTTCTGCCCAGGAGTCGCTACACTCATCTGAGCTTTATTCTAGGTTTGCTGAGCCTCCGTTTCGAAGTCAGCTTCTGGTCAGAACATCCTTTCCAACTTTAAGATGTCCTGATACTGTGACAAAGGTTGGCCGAAGCCAACTCACACCGAGCCTGCAAGCTGCTTAGAGTCTGCGCTTCAAGCCCCACCGAAGTTAACATTAGCGGCTGATTTACGTGCTCCCGAGTCCTAGGCGGCACTTAGGCCTATTGGTCGGGCCTGCCAGCAATTCTTGTTAGAGTTTAGTTTCAGGCCTGCAAGTATGGTCATCTGACAATACATTCTTGACGCAAGATCAGTCTGATTGGATCTACTCGCATAATTGTTAATGCTGTATTGGTCATGACAGGGTGCCACATATGACGCGTTAAATCGTACCTTATAACGCGTTCCAGCATGCCACATAACGTGTTCTAACGTGCCTAATGACGTGTTCCAGCGTGCCACATAACGTATTCCAAAGTGCCGCATAACGAGATCCAACGTCACAGGAGAGCCTGGCCGTGCAGCTGCCAACCTACCAGGATGCCAGTGCCCGCTGCCAGCAGTACGATGATCAGGACGACGATAGTACTTGGCACATTGCTGGCAGGTGTGCAGATTAATGAGATTATTTTCTGACAGTCACTGTTTTTGAAATTATGGGAGCAGACGCAGTTAGATAGTTTAACAGGTTGACTTTGAAGCTAGTGCAATTGTGAGAGACAAGCGATAAGGTGCTTGTACACAGGGACAGTACTGGCGGCTATTAGATCAGAAAGATGCCAAATGTCTGCTTCTTGGTGTCTATCCCGCAAATAAGCTTAGACATGAGACAAGTTTACGGTGCCGCCGCGCCGGTATCTAGTCGTTACCGGCACGGCGGCACCTTAAACTTGCCTCGTGTCTAATCATACTTGAGGGATAAGGTACCTGTACACAGGGATGGTACTAGCCGCTAGTTCATCCGCCGCTTGAACTGTCCACGCTACTAGCCTCGTGTATAGGGGTTCAGCCGCTTCAGAGGCATGCGCCGGCAAGTGCCCGAGACGCGATCGAGAAGGACAACGATGTGTCGATTTCTGCGCTGAAGAAGTGGCTAGTAGCGCTGATGCAGCCATGATGAGAGCATTTATGCCACTCTTGTGAAGTATCTTGGGTCAAGTGAATCATGGCTTGTTTAAACGATAATGTTTCTAAGAAGAACCCAACAAAGTGGATGCCAGACGATATTCAATTATTCTTTGAAATATTCCAAAATATGAATTAAAGTATAATGTTTGCCATGATGGTTACTCCGACCAAATGAAGAGAGAAACGAGTATTTTGAAACGGAAAGAAGACCTTATTAGTCAGGGTTTAGTTGTTCCCGACGCTGCATTTTTAATGGCTAGAATAAAGAGTATAAAAACGACGTACAGACTCGGGTTGTTGAAGGTAATCCCACTATCCATCTTCGCAGACCTCACTCGACGGCTTCTAACGACGCACTGGCGGGTGCGAACGAGAAGATAGCGGCACTGTATACTCTCCTTGTGTAAAGGCTTAATAGCCGGATAGTAACCAAGCGACCGACTATTACTACTAGCCGTCTGCACTATCCCCGTGTACAAGCACCAATAGACACCAAGTGGCAGACATTTGGCACTTTTCTGATCTACTTGCCGCCAGTACTGTCCCCGTGTACAAGCACCTTTAGTTTCTGGCAGGCGATTATAGTTTCTGGTGTTACTCGCAATTTGTATTGTTGCTATAAGAATATAAGCTTATTTTGGCAGTAATTCGCGTTTGTGCTGGCAGATTTAGGCGTCAGGCTGGCAGTATTAATGCAGTATCGTTGCAGTGCGGTGCTGCTGATGATGATCCTGCCGGTGGTGGCTGCCACCGTCGCCCACCTCAGCACAAGTGAGACAAAAAGGGCAGCTGAAGGGTCAACACTTAAAGAAATAATTATCCACATATGATGTCACTTCAACTCAGCGCAGCCATGCAATAATAACGCATTTGTCCACGTAGGAACTCAGGGCAGGCAAAAAGTGATAACGCATTTATGAACGGAGGGGATCAGCGCATGCATGAAGTATTTTACGTCAATTAGACTTCGGCTCTTTTCTAGGGCGCTACATGAGTAAAATCCAGTAAATAAAAGCACTGCATTGGGCGTGCTGTGCTGTGGGCTGACAAGTTAAAACATGTAATAAATGATTTTCTGGACGTCGCCGTGTTACCGCGACATAACATCGAATATGATTTAATTTGCAGAACGCTTGCCCGCTTGCGTGAAGGCGTTCTCCCTGAAGGAGAACCTGAAGAAGCTGGCGGAAACCGCGAACATTTCTACGCGTAGAGAGAAAAGTGCGATGTGTGGCATCAGGTGAGCTGTGCTCTTAGATACTTAACTCTTTATCTAATCTATGCGCTCTCTACATCTACTCTGCATCTGCTCCAAATCGTGTCTCTGCGTTGAGCTAAATCTCAATCTCTCTATTTCTCCGTAATTTACAGTTTCCTGTGCAGGGTGCTGTCTATAGCGTGGGTCATTTTCGGACATCACTACATCTTCATACCCTACGTGGCCCCCAACCCACTCATGATACCCGCAGTAAGCTGCCCACCACAAGGTGCATTCCTGAGACCGGCCCAGCCCGATTTTTCACTTATATTCATATTTCCTTCCTTGGGCATGCATTCTAAAATGCATGTATAGGCCTATGAAGTTAAGTGATTAAATTAACAGCGCTGGAAATCCACAACCACCACTCGAGCATTCTCGCACTTGATCAAGAAATTCAGCATCAGGCCCAAACTCCCTCTAAAACAAAATTGGCCAGACCTAACTTAGCCTATCCTCATTAAGGACGGAAAGTTGGAGAGACGGACCATGTGATCAGGTAGAACCAGAAATTGGCTACGGGAAGGAGGAGAGTCGATGTAGCATGATTTGGTAAGGCCAGATGCAGGACTGCCTTCTAGGCTACTAGGAACAAGCATGCTTAAGCGGTGGCTGTGGATTTACAGCGCTTTTGGCTTTAACCCTCTACCGCCGTATGTCACTCTCCGGGAACATACAATCATGCGTAACCTACTATTTGTAGCAACCTGAGGACATTTGTACGCAACAGAAAACATTTTAAAGTTGTCGTACGTGGAGGCAACCATCAGTGCAAGTCATTTTACGCTTACTAGAACGTATTCTATTTGGAAAGTAGGCTTGTGACAATGCTGCTCCTGTTACTCATGTCATGCGGGTAGAGGGTTAAGAATTGTAGAACTGGTCTGACTGACAGCGTTCCGGCGTAGTCTCCGGCTTCTTGCTCTGAGGTGAGGATATCTACTGCATGCTAATGCAGTACGTTAGCTCAAGGGTTAATTTAAAATATTGTTATATTGTGTCCCTCGGCTGTTCCACCGTCACTATTGACACCTAACATATGTCTGCTCCGTTATTTGCTAGCAATGCCGTATGGTGATGACATTTTTGCATAGTGAACGCTTTCAGATGACGGAGCCTTGGACATTCCAAATGGTGTGGGGAGCAACCTTTGCTGTGGACACTTTTTTCACTCTCAGTGGCCTGCTCACCACCATGGCCATCATGAAGACAAACTTCTGCCTGCGTCCAAGTGAATCCCTACAGGAAACTAAGCCTCACTTGGAGCACGGGCGGCGTGATACTACCATAAGCAATGCAGGAGGAAGTTCCTCAGCGCGCACTATAGTCCGCGCCATCAGGCGGCAGGGCGCGGCATCCACCGCACTCGTGTTCGGACGAACATACGTCAGTTACGTCGCCCACCGCCTTCTAAGGTGCTTTTGCGCAATTTAACATCATTAGGCAAGCAATTCATATTTTTTCTACAGTTATTTTGTCCTTATACCATAGGTAATAGCCATTTACGCCTCTATGATACATTCTTGTCGAATTTGACTATCATTGTCATGCCTAAATATGTTGCAAATGTTAAAAATAACTATTTCTAATCTCTTTTCTGAACTCTCTCTAAATTCGCACCCTGCAGCTAGGGCATAAGACTTCGGAATCTAGATCGAGACACTCAAGTTAGTTCTAAATAAACCACGGTGATTTGCACCACAGCATTCAGGCATGTCCCTCTGAAAACTTTATGCTTTTCAACGTTGTTTGGATCAAATAATGGTGCTTGACAACTCAGAAGAACCTTGAATTTCTAGTAAAAAAGTGCCTCGGATTTCTTACCCGCTCTTATCAGCCATGAATTACCTACCCTAATCGGCCGCGCTTTGCCCACCCAAACGGGGCTGCCACATATGACGCGTTATATCGTGCCTCATAACGCGTTCCAGCATGCCACATAACGTGTTCTAACGTGCCTCACAACGTGATAAAGTGTTTCAGAATGCATAACGTATTATAAAGTGATAAAGTGTAAAAGAATAGAAGTGTCGGCAATGAAGAAATAGGCCCATGGCCTGTTGCCGTAATATAATACGCAGTAATGTCGTCTGACATTACTGCGGGATTACATTATTACATACCCAGTAACCGGGATTATTGAACACGAATTGCCCACCAAAATCTGCCTCGACTTGCCCACCCAAACATACCTTGACTTGCCCACTATAATCAGCTGTGACTTGCCCACCCAAACATACCGCGACTTTTCCACCCTAATCAGCTTCGACTTGCTCTCTCTAACCAGCCGTGACTGCCCACCCAAACATACCTCGACTTGTCCACGCTAATCATACGTGACTTGTCCATCCTAATCTGATTGAAATTATCCCCCTTTATCTGCTACAGCTTTTCTGCGCTCAGTTAGGAAGTTTTTTTTTTTTTACAGAATAACGCCGACTCTGCTGCTCGTCATCATGTACTGCGCTGGGCCTTCACTTTATTTCGTCCATGGACCTTACCGCAAAACATATCAAGATTTTTACCTAACAAACTGCCGTAAAAATTGGTGGGTGGACCTCACCTTCGCATCGAACTTCCTGACTGAAAAGCATTCGGTGGGGGTCTTCTGTAAACATAAATAATCTTCCTTTTAAGAGTTAAACATGATATGTCTCTATAAAATCTCTACTGCTTATACTCTTACAAATCTTCATGTTTGCATTCTAATGCATTTCGAAATAACTAACTCTGAGAATTCACGACTAATTTTTTATTCACGACTACTCCATCACGTGTAGCTGAATATTATATTTTGTCAGAGGTCACGAGCAAAGCTTATGACAGGCCGATAAATAACGTTTATACTTCGACTGGCAAACAGGACCAACAAGCAGACAAAGAGAAATGTCAGCTGAGCAGGTTTTAGTCATTGACAGTCGACTCATGTCAAACGTTGGTTATGATGTACATTGGTTATGATGACGTGCATGGCAAAATTATGAATTATGTCGAACTGCAGGGTGCATCAGAGAGACTTACTTTTTTAGTTTGTCGAAATGTAAGAAGTGGAGGTAAGAGGCTGGAAGTGTGAACCTCAAATTTTTTTCCCGCCGCTGACAGTTACGAGGATGCAGCGTACGCGAGAGAGGCGCGCGTTCTCTATCGGAGAGTACTTTAAATTTGACCAAATAATTTAGATTTTCTTATTCCGTTGTTCTCTTCAGGATTTCGTTACCGCGGCTTCTTCCAATATATCTATATAAAAATTTGAAGGAAAAATTAGTGAGGTGAATTGTCTGTGGACCATTTAATCTGACCGACATCTCTTTAAATTTCAATATTTTTAACACTCAAAAAGTAGATCTCTCTGACGCAGCCTGCACCCAAGTCAAGGAATTTGCTGTTTATACAGGAAATTAATACAACCATTAGATCATGATTCTAAACTCTCTCATGCGGCACGTAGCTTTACAAAATGAAGTCTATTTGTACGCGTCATGTGGCGCACTTATACAAAATCTTTTTACTAGTCACTAGTATTGATGAATAACCACTATTATTTCTTCTTTTTACAATTTACTGGTCAAAGCGTGCAGGTTGCCAAACTCCATAGCGTGGGGCCTGCCAGTATTGACCACCATAGCCGAAATTGCTAGCGAAAGCTCCCGCGAATTAGCAGATAGAGAACGTAGGAAGTGCAACCTTGTTTGGTTCGGCATTCCCGAAAGCACGGCATCTGAGACGAACGAACGAGTGATGGCCGACAATAAGTATGTGGCAGACTGCTGTAGTAAAGCACTAAGCACACCGGTTGATATTGCATCGTGCAAGAGGTTGCGCTCCAAGAATGCTGTTGTTAACGCCTGCAGACCTCTATTGGTGACTGTGAAGGATCCGGACCAGGTTTGGAGCGTGCTGAAAGCAGCGAAAAAATTAGCAGCAACTGTTGAATTCAAGTCTGTTTTTGTTAAGAAGGATTCCATCCCTTTAGAGAGGGCGGATTTCCGCCGCGAGAAATGGCAGGAGCGAAACAGACGCAGAAGCACGGAAAATCAAGTCAACAACATTCAAGATCTCACGAGGGCTCCGACCGCTCGCCGACAGTCGGGGGAAATGGAAGACAATTAAATAGTGGAAATCATGTATATAAATCTAGTTCTGTAAATAATGTAAAAAGTTTACTCGTACATCAAGATGGAAGTGTGCAAAAAGTTTTGAAATGTTTCTACACGAACTCTGATTCCGTTTTGAACAAAAGAAATGAACTGTTAACTGTGATCGGAAACGAGTGTATAGACATTATTTGTATTACAGAAACACTCCCTAAAAATCACGGGGGGAAAATATTACCAGTTGAATTTCAGTTGCCAGGTTTTGATTGCTTTCATAATTTGAACGAAGAGCAGTGTAGTAGAGGTGTAGCTCTGTGGGTTAGAACCTTTTATGGGGCCCAACAAGTTAAGTTATCAGCAGAGCACCAATCAGCTAGAGAATCAGTGTGGTGTGAGCTTTCTTTAAAAAGCAGGGATAGCCTCCTTATAGGTGTCCTGTATC